TTTTAAGGTTTACAAAGAACTCTACATGTATCTTATTTGATCTCATATGATAGTCTATAAGACACACCATATATGTTATAAATAGTATATGTACTATTTGTTATAATGTCATTTTATATATAACATGACATAAATGATAATACAAAATAGTATATTATAATTATCTGTCGCAATGGAGGGTTCATTAGGAAGCAGGGATGGGAAATTACTGTGAAGCAAAGATAAAAGAAATCAAGAAAATGTTTTTTAAAATGCATGGACTGCAAAGATATAGAGGGATCAAAAATATAAAAAATAATGTCAAAATATTCTCTATAAGAATAGAGACTGTTACATTAGAGATTAAAATAAGCCAAGGTTGGTCATAAATACTAAAGACAACAGGCAGATGGAGGTGGCGTTGGTATTCTGGAGCAAGAGGACTATCAGAGAAGGAATAAGACTGACTACTTAGACTGGATAAAATGATAATGGATAATGCAGAGAAAGTAGAACTAATGAACGCTTGTTTTGTTTCTGTTTTCCTTGGCACAGAGAAAGATTTCCAGATTAGGAAAGATAGAACAAAAAATGGTGAACAGTGAGTTGAAACCCAAGATAAGTGGTGAGATTTGTTTTTAAAGAGAGTACCCCAACACATTTATTACCTAATTCTTAAGCATATCTTTCTACAATACTCTAGAGAGAATTTATGGAGGACTTCTTTTGGCTTGTACTATTTCATACATCCTAGTTCATCAGTTGGACTCACTGAGCATAGACAAACTACGTCTCAGGGTACTGAAGGAAAGAGAATTACGGAGCCACTCACTGTCAGAGATCTGAAGGTCTCTTCCACTGCTCTTGTGGACGAGGTCGAAAGAGGTGAACTAGATGATGGTGCAGTTAGGGAGATTCAGAACTGATTGAATGACCTGACCCAAAGTATAGTCATTATTGGGTTAATGTCAAGTTGGAAGTAAACTAGCCCGAGGATCTGTCTTTGGCCTTGTTCTTTTTAACATTTTTATCAAACACTTCAATGAAGTCATAACTGGATTGCTTACAAAATTTGCAGATGACGCAAAGCTGAAAGGGGTAACTAATATTTTGGAAGACTGAATTGAGATCCAAAAATACCTTTATGAGAAAAAATACTGGGCCAAATCAAATTAGGTGAAATTTATTAGTTACTATCATTGTTGTTCAGTTGTTTCAGTTGTGTTCTATCCTTCATGACTCCATTTGGGGTTTTCTTGGCCAAGACACTGGATTGGTCTGCCATTTCCTTCTCCAGCTCATTTTATACATGAGGAAACTGAAGCGAACAGGGTTAAGTGACTTACCTAGGGTCACACAGTTACTAAGTGTTTGAGGCCAGATTTGAACTTGGGAAGATGGGTCTTCCTGACTCCAGGCCCAGCACTCTATCGGCTGTACCAATTTAATAGAGATACACATAAAATCCTATATTTGGTTCAAAAAAAAATCAACATCACAAGTACAAGATTAGAGGGGCATGGCTATGCAAGAGTATCTGTGGAAAAAAAAAATCCAAGGGTTCTGGTGAACAATAAGCTCAATATGAGAAACATTGAGCCATGGTAATTAAAAAAAAAAAGTAATTCAACTTGGCCTGAATTAAAAGAGGTGAAGTGTCCAAAATAATGGAGGTAATAGTGACAGTTCCACCATTCTCTGTCTTTTTTTCTTTTTTCAGACCAAATCTGAAGTATTCCATTCAGAAGTAAGCACCACATTTTAAGGTCATTGACAAGCTGGAGTGTGCCAAGAGGAGGTCGGCTAGGGTGATGAGACCAGAGACTACGCTATATGTAGACTGGTTGAAGGAACTGCTGTTATTTATCTTGGAAAGGAGAAGACTTAGGGAGAACATGATCACGCTCTTCTAGTATTTAAAGGGCTATCATGCGGAAGAAGTATGATTCATAATTCTCACATTTTGCTCATGAGCTGGTCTATGTAACCATCCAGACAACTCCTTCAATGAGAGACAAAGCATTCTGGATATGGAGACAAAAGGCCTTGGGTTTGAGTCTGAGATTGGCCACTTTATTAAGTGTGTGATCTTGGGCCAGTCAATTCAATAATGATAATAATAATAATCGATCCCTAGTCTCTTTATCATTTAGCTGATTCTGCTCTACCAAGACTCAATCCTCAGCCTCAGATCACTTGCAACATTTACTGCCTTTTGCTCCCTACATATGTGCTGCTAAATCAAGGTAGAGAAGATCACTCCACCATTCTAACTAGTTCCACTTCAAATTTATATTTCGCATCCTTAATTAGGCCCTCACTGCTACTTGGCAACCCTTCTACACCTGCCTTATCGACTGACTATCACACTCTCCACAACCCCTCTTTCAAACTTTTTCATTGGTCCTCAGATCTCTCATGGTTCCCCCTATTCCCATCCCATCAGCTGAGAACCTTGCCTCATGTGTTACAGAAAAAAAAAAATGAGTCCATTCTCCCTGATCTCTCTCTTCCTCTTTTCATACCACTCAGGTACCTTCTGCCACCATCTCTTTCTCCACCCTATGAAGAGGAGGCCTTATTCCTTACCTGCCCAAGCGATCCCATTCCTTCCTGCATCCTCTAACAGACCGTCCCTTCTGTCATCTCCTGTCTATCACTTACTTTTGTTCCCTACTGTCTAAAAAATATGCCATTCTCCCCATTGTCAAAAAACTCTCACTTGATCCCGACATCTCTGATAACTATAATTCTACGTCTCTACGTCTCATTTGTGGCTAAATTCCTTGACACGGTCATCTACAAAAGGTGTCTCCACTTTCTCTTCTCTGGCTCTGTTCTTAACTGCTTATAATCTGGCTTCTGACCTTATCATTCCAACAACACTGCTCTCAAGTTACCAATGATCTTAGATACTAAATCCATTGCCTTGCTTGACACTGTTGATCACCATCTCCTCCTTAATGCTTTCTTTTTTCTTCTGGGTTTTCAGGACACCACGCTCTCCTGGTTCTCCCCCTACCTATCTGACTGCTCCTTCTCCATCTCCTTTGCCGGATCTTCATCCAGATCACACCCTCTAACCATAGGTGCCCCTCAGGGTTCTGTCCTGGACCCCTCTTCTCTTCTTCCTCTCTACTACTTCACTTCTCTTCAGCTCCCGGGGAGTTAATTACCATCTCTATGTTGATGATTCTCAAGCCTATCTATCCTACCCCAATCTCTCTGCTGACTTCTAATCTTGCATACCCAATTCCCTTTCAGACATCTTGAACTGGATGTCCAGTAGACAGACATCCTAAACTCAACATGTTCAAAACCAGACTCATTACATTTCTCCCTAAATGCCCCCTGCCCCATTCTACCTTCCCTTTTACTGTAGAGGGCATCGCCATTCTCCCAGTCCCTCAGGCTCACAACCTAGGGGTCATCCTGGAGTCCTCACTATTTCTCACCTCCCATACCAGTTTGTTGCCAACACCTACTAATTTCACCTTCTTTCCTCTGATTCTGCCACCACTCTAGTACAGGCCCTGATTACTTCATACCTGAACTATTGAAATAGCCTATTAGTGGGTCTGCTTGCCTTAAGTCTCTACTCACTCCAATCCATGCTCCATTCAGCCATTCACTAATCTTCCTAAAGTGCCCATCTGACCACATCACCTCATACTCAGTAAACTCCACTGGCTCTCTACTTTCTCCAGGATCAAATACAAAATCCTCTGTTTGGCAGACAAAGACTTTCATAACATAGCCCCTTCCTACCTTTCCAGCCTTCTTATACCTTATTCGGTACTCTCTAGTGACACTGGCCTCCTTGCTGTCCTATGAACAAGACACTCCATATCTTGGCTCTGGGCATTTCCTCGGACAGCCCCCATGCCTGGAGTGCTGTCCCTCCTCATCTCTGCCTCCTGACTTCCTGGGTTTCCTTAAAATCCTATCTTCTACAGAAAGCTTTTCTCAGACCCTCTTAAATCTACTGCCTTCCCTCTGCTAATTATTTCCTGTTTATCCTGTGTATATATTTGCTTGTATATATCTGTTTATTTATTGTCTCTTCCATTAGATTGTGAGGTCCTAGAGAACAGGGACTATCTTTTGCATATTTTTGTATCCCCAGCACTTAGCACAGTGCCTGGCATATAATAGGAATTTAATAAATGTTTATTGATTGATTAACAATAATAATAGTCAGCGTTTTAATAACACGTCAAGCTTCACAAAGTACTTTACATAGATTTCTCATTTGTTCCTCAAAACACTCCTATAAGATAGGTGCTATTATTATTATCCCCATTTTACAGATAAAAATAAAAATACTACTACTAATAATAATAATAATAGTTAGCATTTATATAGTACTTACTATGTGCCAGGCATTGTGCTAAGCACTTTATAGTTATTCTTTGATCCTCACAACAACCCTGGGAGGTAGGTACAATTGCTATCCTCATTTTACAGATGAGGAAACTGAGGCACAGAGCTGTTCAATGACTTGCCCAGAGGCACTCAGCTAGTAAGTGTCTGAGGCCAGATTTGAGCTTGTCTTCCTGACTCCAGGTTTAGTGTCTAAGCTACTTCACTACCCAGTAACCTCTGAGCCTCAAGTTCCCTCTTCTGTAAAATGGTAATTAAATGACCTCTAAGGCCCTCTTTCACCTCTGATATCCTACGGTTCTAGGAAACAAGACACAGCTACAGAGTTTTCTTCCTCCTACCCAAGCGATGATATTTTCCCCACTGCCCAAAACAAAAGTGACTTTAATGTCAGAATGCATTTATTGAACTCGACCTGTTTGTTAACTGGATTGACTTCAACCAACAGTACAGGCCGAGCCGTAATTATGAGAAAACAATCAGATCTCTATTTGAGTTCACACCCTACCCGTTTTACCACTTTTTTGTGTTATAGCAGAACTCGTTCAGCAACTTCAGCTTGGCTTTCCCTCCTTTCTGCTTCTGGATTGAAGAAACACAAACCAGTATAGCGAGTTTGGTCAAAAATTATGGCTTATTGTCTGTGCAAGTTCACACACTGCTCCTTTATAGCTCTCCTGTGTACCAGGAGATCATTTCTTGACTCAAAGGTAGAGGCTGAGACCGGGCACCAGAAGACCAGAGGGGCAGAGCCATGATGTAAGTACCAAGGGCCTGTGACTGGCCCTGATGTTCTAGAAGTCAGTAAAGTCTATGAAACAGAAAGAAAGAAGCGTTGACTTCGGTGTGTAACCTTTGGGGAGGAAGAGAAAGGGAGATGGCTCTCGGGAGCTTAAGTTTCCTCCAGTATGTGAGGTAGCTGAGCTCCAGGTGCTATCCTCAGTGTGGCAAGGGGACTCTCTCTGTTGTTAAGCAGGGCTCTAAGTTCTGCTCTCCTCTCTGAATGGGCTCTATGCATTTGAATCCAAGCCTGGAATCCCAAAACATTTCCCTAGTCACTCAGTTGGCTGGGGAGGGCTTGGTTTTCCCTACAAAGTCACAGCTGCCCATAAAAGTGATTTCTTACTCCTCCCCCCTTGCAAAGGAGGACCAGAATGCCTGGAGCTTGCCCCAGTTGCTTCAGCTGGAAAGGAGTGAATAAAACTATTGCCTTAAATGGAACTGGAAGAGGGAATGGAATCCACTACAAGGAGGACCACTAGGCTGGGTGGGAAACATCAAGTGAGTGGATTCAGGAAAGCAGGATGTCTGCCCTGGCTTCTCTTGAGAATAGTCATTTGGACAGAACCTCAATTCTTTTTTCATTTCTTTTCTATCCCCAGTCTGGAGCAGAGAATATGGAGAGGTGAGGGCAGCAAGTAGATGGCATGAAGGGCATTGGTCTGTTGGGTGAGAACTCAGCTATACAAAAGGACATGTCCCCAAACTCTTTATTTGGGTGTATTTGTGAGTGAGAGAGGGACTATGGGGACTGGATGTGGGAAGAGGGAAAAGTCTCCTTCCCCATCCCCACTCCTCCCCCATCATTCCCTTTGAGGTGTGTGATAGCTAGCATGGCTCTCTGAGCTGGAGTAAGACATCCTTTGTGCTTCTAGCTTTACCCCATTTTAGAGATATTGTCCCCATTCCCAGCACCAGTGAATTCATTGTTCTCCTGCAAAGACAGCCCCTGAATCCCAGAATATGTTCCACCAAATCTGCTCTAGCTTCCACCCAGCCCCCAACCCTCATGCCAGGCCATCCTTTGTACTCCACCCCAAAGGTAGCTGTTTGACTTCACCCTGGTGCAGGAGTCAGGTTGCAGTGGTTTCTGTTACCTGAGCTGCAGGGGACAGGAGAGCAAGTTGACACCTTGGGTCCTAGGCTGTGCCTCAATCCTGCATTGTTCTCATATACGTGCATGTGTAGCTGTGCCAGCCTGTAATGTGCATGTCTATGATCGTAGGCATGCATGTGTGTGCTGCCAGGTATGCATATTGTACCAGCATGTGTGTGTGTGTGTCCACAAGTGGGTACAAACCATCCATCATTTGCATATGTGGTCAAGGCTGTTCATGTATATACATGTAGCATCTACAGGAGTGTCTGTGTGCAAGTTTATATCAGGGTGTTTGTATGTGTACATAGAAATGTATGTTCAGTCATAACTCACATTTCTGCAAGATGTTAATGTTTAGAAAGTTCTTTCCTCATAATAAGCCCTGAAAAGTAGGTAGTACATGTAAGCATCATCATCTATTTTTGCAGATAAGGAAACTGAGGCTGAGTTGAGGTTGTTGGGAAGGAAAAACCATCTAAGAAGGGAAGGGGAAAGGATAACAAATTGAGTTTTGATTAATCTGAATGGAGAGTGACAGCAGGATAGCCACATAGAGATGTGTAATAAACATGAATGAATGAATGAAACAAGTATTTTTTAAGCACTTACTATGTGCCAGGCATTGTGATAAGCACTTTACAAATATAATCTCATTTGATCTTCACAAAAACCCTGGGAAGTAAGGGGCTTTTGTTATCTCCATTTAACAGTTAAGGAAACTGAGGCAGACAGAAGTTAGGTGACTTTGCCAGGTTCACAAAGCTTGAAAATGTCTTGGGCCAGACGTGAAATTCAGCTCCTCCTGACTCCAGGCCCAGCACTCTATCCATTTTTGTTGTCTTTGAGTCATTTGCAATCATGTCCGACTCTTTGTGACCCCATTTGGGGTTTTCTTGGCAAAGATATTGGAGCAGTTTTCCATTTCCTTTTCCATCTCATTTTACAGATGAAGAAACTGAGATAAACAGGGTTAAGTGACTTGCCCAGGATCACACAGCTAGTAAGTGTCTGAGACCTGATTTGAAGTTAGGAAGATGAGTCTTCCTGACTCCAGGCCTGGTGCTTTATGAGCTGCACCATCCAGCATTTGGAATAATGGACATATATCCACATGTAGATGTAGCAGCAGAAGGAATGTTAAAGGTCACATCTAATCAAACTTCTTCATTTTACCGATGAGGAAACTGAGGCCTAGAGCAGGGGAAGTTACTTGACAAGGTCACACAGGTTGTAAGTCCCAGAGCCAAGATTCCAACCCAGGTCCCCTAACTGCAGTTGTCTTTCCACTGTACCGGGCTGCCTCCCTTCTCCAGCACACAATTAGCACCTTATTACTTTCTGCCCTGTTCTCTGAATGTCTGTGCCGTACAACTGAACACCTCATCACACTGTCCTATAGCCTTCGCTAATTGTTTCATGGCTTTGAAACTTGTCTGTCAAAACAGACTGCAAACTCCCCAAGGGCAAGGACTGAGTTTTCTCCTTCTCCTGCCAACCTCTCATTACCCAGCATAGGACTAGTCACTGGTTCCTGGACCTAGTTAAGCCAGATAAAGGCTGGCACCTAGGTGAGATCCCTGCAGGCTACTGTTATCCTGAAAGTGCAATTCTAAGGGAGGTTGATTTCAAGTAGTCTCCTTAAGAGAGGGACTCAATCTCTGGGGAGAGGAGGGAAAAAGGAGAGAGAGAGAGAGAGAGAGAGAGAGAGAGAGAGAGAGAGAGAGAGAGAGAGAGAGAGAGAGAGAGAACAGACAGATGGACAGAGACAGAGAAAAAAGAGACAGTGGAGATAGTAGAGACAGAGAGAAGAGAGAGAGGAGGAGGAGGGGAAGAAAGAGGAAAGGGAGGAGGAGGAGGAGGAAGAGAAGGAGGAGGAAGAGAAGGAGGAGAAGAAGAAGAAGAAGAAGAAGAAGAAGAAGAAGAGAGAGAGAGAGAGAGAGAGAGAGAGAGAGAGAGAGAGAAAAGAGGGTGAAGGAGAGAAGGGGAAAGAGAGATAGAAGAGAGGTGAAAGAGAAAGAGAGAGAGGGAGAGAGAAAATCCAGATAATCTGACTGAATTCACTGACTTGTCTTCCCTTTGCTTCAGGACAGTACAGCACAGAAAAACTTGTCTTGGCCTTCTAGTCTCTGGTTTAGGAAAAATATTACAACTATGGGATAGGGCAAGAAAGGGTAATACAATTGGAAACACCCATTAGAAACTTCTCTTCTTCCTAAGCAAATATAGACTCCAACAGGCAAATACAGGGCCCTTATTGAGAGGCCTACTGGAACACTTCACACACATAGGGATCCAAATACAGTGAATGGCTTTGTAGGGCCAGGATACTGCTGCTATTGTCTGTTCTCAGACAGGCTTCACACTGCTTTATCTAACAAACAGAGCTTCCCTGGCGCAAAGTGGGTGAAGCTTCTCTGTACTTTCCCTTTCACTAAAGGGAACAGAGCATGTTGAACATATTGGGTAAGGGAATTAGGAAGTAGACTTCGAGGGTCTGTCCTTGACTCATCTGTTGAGTGGTCATGCTTATCCTTCACAAAGTCAGCCCATACTTTGTTACCACAAATTCCAGGGGACCATCCAAACTCTTTCTTAATGTTAGGATGTTGTTGTAGTGAAATAAGTCCTATCTACTGGGACTTGGAAGCTTTCTATAATGTGGAGATGTGAGCCCCTGGTGACTCCTGTCCAGAATCTTCTGAGCACCACCAAGTGTTGGAGGGCAGGTGTTGAACTCCCTAAAAGGAAAAGAGGGGAAGCCTATAGAGTAGAATGTTAATAGTTAAACATTAAAAACCCAAATTGATGAGAATAATGGGAGGGCATTGGAAGTTATGCCATCCAAGGGACTTTGCAAGCTATAAAAAGATATGTAAATGTAGACTATTATTATTATTGCTGTTGCCAAATATTTGAAGAGCTATCATAAGGAAGAGAGATTAAGCTTGTTTTGGTCCCATAGAATAGAAATGAGAGCAATAGGTAATAGCTTCAGGGAGACAGATTTTGGATCAATGTAGAGGAAAAAACTTCCTAATAATTGTAGTTGTCCAGAAGTGGAATGTTCTGCCTCTAACAATCAGTTCCCATGTCACAGTGAGTTCCCCATCACTGGAAGTCTTCAAATAGAAACTTAGAGGACAGATTTCTACTCAAACATGAGTTGGACTGGATGACCTCTGGGGTCCTTCAACCTCTGAGAATCTCTGCTATATCTGTTCTCTTTAAGGAATAGATATTAAATAAAATGTCATTTCCATGAAAATCCTGGCTCACAATTCACATGCTCCTATGTGAATGAAACACATTTAGAACTTTAGTGGCCCAGTGCAGCTGAAAAGGATCCACATCCCAAAAGAAATGGAGAAAAACCACTGGGAAGAGTATGGATGAAAAGGATTCAGAGCATTGAAGGTCATTGAAGAGAAGGCAATAAGCATTTATTAAGTACCTACTGTGTGCCAGGTTCTGTGCTAAGCACTGTACAGATCAATTTATATCAATTGATCCTCATAACAACCCCGGGAGGTAGGTGCTATTTTCATCCCCATTTTACTGCTGAGAAAACTGAGATAGAGATTTAAGCAACTTGCCCAGGATCACATAGCTAGGAAGTTATCTGAGGCTGGATTTGAACTCAGATCTTCTTGACTCCAGACCCAGTGCTCTATTATTAGTTGCATCGTTTGATTTTTTTTTTTGAGATGTCATCCTTCTGAAGCTACCCTATAAGTCTGACCTAAGAAAAACAGATTACCAGAGACAATCTCCTACCTTCACATATCAAGCCTGGGCTGGAAAAGAAGACAGAGCAAGGGATCATTCAAAGGGCAAGGACAAACAAATAGTTGATGAATGAATGGGTCCTTTCCTTAGGCCA